GTCCTATCATGCGGTTGAAATGATGAGCTTCATTGTGGAGATCTCGATGAGGTGCGCACTTCCCATTGACGTTGACTACCAACGTGCTACATGATGTTTCTTCAGGGTCATGGTGTTGAAGGTACTGAAGTATGTACCGCGTGAAACATGGCAACTGAGAGGTGGCCTTAGTTACTCCATACTGATTTCCATACGAGTAGGCCCCTAAAGCCACATACTTCTCGGGAGGTTGTTTGAGGATACCCCTAGATCTACTTTGGGAGGCTTTCGGTAGGAGTTCTAGTAGTTGCTCACAATCACTGTGCTGAAGCTGCTGCTTCTGGTACATGCCGGAGGCCAACTTTTCTATGAGCTTGGCTTGGGTCTGGGTGAATTGACATGACTCACCGTCACTGTCTTCTAGAACCTCAACCTGTTCACCTGAACCTTGACCTTCCAGCGCAACCCTTGCATCAACCTCAGGTCCACCTGTTTCACCTAACCCGATGCCTTCCAACTCCTTCCCCTGAACACCTGAGCCCGAACCTTCTATTGCGGAACACCCTTGCATCATCACGTCAGACTGCAGAATACATCGCCCACACAACTGTTTCTGTTTTGGGAGCGACACTTCGTGGCACATGCGCCGGGTACCCTCTCCAAAATGGCTGGGCAGACTGCTGTTGTCTTGTGCTTCGGCTATCGCCAAGGCATGATCTAGCTCTTGCAAGATGATGCTCCCAACCTTTCGGGCGTATTCGGGGGTATATAGCTCGCTATCCCTCGCTGCTACCCCTTCACACCGACAATGTTTATAGTTACGGGAACATCTACAAGGTAAATCCAAACCTTCAGCCAGTCTTTTGCAAGAGGTCACGACTCTCCACCCTTTCTGCATCAGTTGTCCATCCTTGCGGCTACGTAGTCCTACTCGGCAACCTCTTGTGACTGCTGAGTACAAGGAATACTTGGTCTGCAGATTTTGTAACAAAGGAAGTCTCCATGCCTGACACCGTTCTGAAAGCTCAAATGTTACATGGATACCCTTCTGCATGCACGTGTGCACTATGACGCAGCAGCTCACATAGACTCTCATCGCTTCGGCCCTTTTCCCTTCAAGATCTGCCTTCTGTTCAGGGGTCCTACTATTAACATTTTGTAAGGGAGAAAAGGGACCACAAGGAGGTGAGAGCCAGACGTGCGAAGGATTCTCCACTTCCAGCCTTTGTAGGGCTAACTTAAGTCCCTTCCCGGAACCCAAATCCCCACAATTCCAATGACTACAACTGTTGGGACTGCAGCACACTTCCATCAAGACTGTTCTACTCTCATTGACCAGACCCTGATATACTTGGGGGACTATAGACCACGCATCCGCCTCTAGCCTACGAGCCCTTCCCAAGGTCAACTGTCTGCTCAATCGTTCGGAAGCACTAAGGTTTTCGTTTGCTGAGCGTGCTACACCATCCCCTGTACTGATAGACTCAGCGGGACGATCATCATCATCCTCATCCGTCTCTACTTCTTCACGGGGACACGGATGTAGGAGCCGTCCGTCTCTGTCTCGCTCTCTTCGACTTTCGTCTTCTTCTTGCGAGCCGGCTCCTGCTTGAGCGCTGCAACCTCCTGGCGAAGGTCGTTGATGGCTCCCAGCATTTCGGAGAGGACGGCATTCCCGGGGTCCAACACTGTGCTGGAACTGGCTGAGGCTGTCGATGGTGCTGCCTTCTTTTTCGGATAGCCCTTGAACTTGCTCAGAAACGTCTCCGGGAACTTCAGCTCTTCC